TTGACGGCCCTGCTGCCCAAGCAGGAGCTGCAGGCCATCTACCAGGAAGCGACGCGGGAGCCCTTCAGCTTCCTCTTCATCCACTACCTGAAGCCCCGCGCCGAAATGTTCTACAAACGCTGGGAAGAACGCTTCGTGATCGAAAATGGGGACGATCCTGAGCCAGGTGGTGGGCAAGCTGCTGGGGGGCGGCCCGCTCTGCGACAGTGAATGTCATCACGTGCAGTGCTGCACGAGCACGCAGAGGGTCGTGGACCCGCGGTGGCCCTGCCCGGAGCGGCCCCGGCAGATCTCGGACAGCACGACCTCCGAGAAGTCGACGGGGCGGAGCTTCTTCCGTCGTAAGTCTAAAAGGATGTCGACTACGATCTATGTCGATAGCAGGAAGAGGGTCGCCGGAGACGACTCCTCTTTCGAATTTGACATCGGGGAGACGCTCCACCTGCAAACTGGGGCCAAACTCTCGATCTTCAAGATGCGTGTCGCCGACGCCTTCCTCTCCACGGATCGGGGCCAATACCTATACTGGATCGATGAAGCCCTGCAGACCCTCAACTGGGCAGTGCTGCCGGTCGGTGCTTACACGGGGAGTCGCCTGGCCGCCTGGATCAGTAGCAACTTTGCTTCGGCGACGTACGTCGAAAGCACAAACGAGATAGGGGTTGCCTACGACGGGAACCGAAGGATCCTGAACGACTACGAGATCCGGTCGCTCTTCCCCGGCACCGGCTCCTATCCCGCGGGGGCAATGCCCACCCGCCCCCTCAGCATCAACCACCTCCTGGGCCCGAGCTTCATCGAGGGCGCGCTGCAGATCTTCGGGTTCGTGACGATGAATCCGTACAGTGAGCTCTTCCTGCGCTGTTCCACATTGACCAACGCGGCCGACATCAAGGGGCCTTTGGGCAATGATATCATCTGCAAATGTATCATTAACGCGGGGCTTGGCTTTGTGATGTCAACCAGAACGGACGAAGGGCATTTCGTGAAACTCCACGGCCCCATTACCCTGCGCACCCTGCGCTTTAAGTTGACAGATGTCGACGGCAACACGGTTAATACCCGCGGGACCAGCGTTTCTTTTGCGATTTTTCTGGATTACGACAATTAATATCTTTAATCTAGAAAAATGGCTGACAATGCGGAGCCCCCCGTGGCGATGGCTGAGCCGTCGGCTCCAGAGCCTGCAGAGCCTGCACCGGAGCCTGTGGCAGAGCCTGCTGCAGAGCCTGCCCCGCAACCCGTGCCGGAACCGCCGGCTGAGCCCCCGGCCCCAAAGCGGAGAGGCAGACCTCCAGGTTCGAAGAACAAGCCAAAAGCCCCGAAGACGGTGCCCGCCGAAGAGGCCGTCTCAGCACCGGCTCCCGAGCCCGCGCAGCCTGCACAGGCTCCGGGTCCGGCTCCCGAGCCTGCCCGACCCGACCTCCCGGCTGAGCCCGTTAGGATGACGCCTGCCCAGGAGCGGGCCCTCCGTTACATGCAGAGGCAGGACCGGTACATGGAGCTCCTTGCCAGAAATACTCACGAGCTGTAAAGGAACGAACGAACCCCTAATGCTCCGACAGTTCAGCAAGATGTACCCCTCGTACAACCTCAACCCCCTCATGCGTCGCCGGCACCAACAGCTCGTGGAGGCGCAGGCCTTCAACGAGTGGTTGGCCAACCGCCGCCTCCGGCAGGAAGGCGAGACCTACGCTGACGAGTTGGGCCGGATGACCGAGGCCGTGAATCGGCGGATCCCTCAGCTCCGCTACGCCCCAGCAGAAAGGGCAGGTGTCCACAGGATTGCCCGGCACGTGGCGGCCGGCAGGAACACCAGCGACTCCCAGGTCTACGGGGGGATGCTGTAAGTCTACACTGTAAGTAAATGGAGGAGCGCAGAAGCAACGGCTTCCGCGTGAAGCCCTCGTTTGGTCAGGTCTTAGGGTACTTTTGCACGCAGCATGTCAATGCCTTGCGACAGGGCTCGTACGGCAGGCATCAGCCCGGCACCTTAAAGATGCGAAGGTGGCAATTCCACCCCCCATGCCCAGGGAACAGCTACCTCGGAAGGTCCTAGTGAGCATGATGCGATTGATCACACTCGAAAGTAGGTACAACTAACTACAGTGCACCTCCACTCAACTCTCAGCTCGAATACACAGCACAGCATACACTTCAGAGTAATGTTGCGATGACGGGTGCACAATACATTCCGGAGCTTTGTTGTCATCGCAGTGCCACATACAGAAGTCATCAATAAGCATTGTGGTGTAATGGCCGCGCGCCGGAGAACAACCGCGATGACAAATCACTGCAACTGGCTTGTAAAGTACATAATGCACGTCCGACCCATGTACATCAGAGAAAACAGGAATGTTGAATTTGTCAATCATGTGTTTTACAGCCACTTGCAACCTTCTCAGACGGCCCGATGAATCATTCCGGAATCGCATAACCTGCATCAGGATAAGATTTGGAGGCCGATGAAAAGCGCAGACAGTTGCATGTGTAGCCACCTCCCAATGCGAGATCATCATATGGATGGAGGATCGGTTCCTTGTCGGGTGTAGCGTCATCACATGTCCAGTGTCATGCACAACGATGCGATTGGCCTCCTGAGTTCTGACCTGCCATGACCCCAACAGGTGTATAGCCCCGACCTGAGTCAAAATATAGGTCCCGAACTCAACAACGTCATGTTGATCATCAGGCGAATCCCAAGCTCGCAACAGATCGCGACAAGCATTTTGAGCCAAAAGTCGCACCTGATGTCCCCTTTCGACCTCCGCGCAAGCTTCCATAAAGCCATGTTGTAAAGAGCGCAGATTAGCCTGAGGATGCGGGCCAGTGTGATCGGATGAGCCTGCCACCGTAGTCCAATACATCGACCTGAACCAGGAATTAATGTAGCAGTGGTTGGAGGAATTGCACAACTGCATCGCCTGGATTAGACGTTTGCCAGTTTGCGAAGGAGTTCTTGAACTGCCGGGGCTCGCTGCAAATTCTCCTTCCTGTACTGCGCTCCTATAAGTTGCCACGCCGTATTGCCTTGGTAGTCCAACAATCCCTGAAATACCTGGGTGCCGTTGGGATCTCGAATCGACAGGTCCTGAACAAACACTGCCACTCCGGTCTCGTACTGATCCAGCTTGCGTGTGGAGCAGAATCGATGTAGCACCGGGCCCTCGTCCACCATACGAAGCATGTTCCTGATCGATGTAACCAATGTTTGATGCAGTACCGGGACCTTGGTCTTGTCCTGTACCAGGGTACGAGTTTCCTTGCACCACTTCTGATAAACCCACTTTTGCTCCGTGGTGAGCCAACCCGCCTGCTGGCACCGAAGCGCCACAGCCTGATCCTTGGCGACCTCGTCCAGCTTTGTCAACAGCTTCTGCAGAATGGCCATGAACATAACCTCCCGAAGTCGTCGATCCGACATCTCGGTGTTTTCCCTTCCATGCCATTTCGCAGCCACGGCCTGCAAGTACGGAATGATCGAAGTAGTGTCCGGAGTCCCGTCCCCTGTTTTCACAAACCATACCAGGCCTGTGTCGAGGCGGAGAGTCTGAATAGCATCTTCGTGCCGCACCGATGTGCGAACCAATAATCGAACAATCTCCATCAACTGCTCGATCGGCAGCTCCATCTGTGATTGTTGTCCTTGTTTTGATCCTCTGGATTGATCTTTTCCTTTTCCTTTGCCCTTGTGCTGTGGCGTTGCCGGTGTCCTCGGTGCCTTGTTGGGTAGGCTCTGACGATCTGCTTGGCGCTTTTGATTGATCGACTCCCCTAGCATGGGAATGTCCGAGGTCGCCAGTCCTCCGAAGAACTCCTCGAGCTGTCCCGCCCGATCCACGTCCATGGTCATGACACAAGACCGCACACTGAAAGAGTGGCGTACACTGTTTGGAATGCGCAGTAGCTGCACCCTGCCCACCGACTCGAACCACACCACAATAGCGACACGGTGACAAAATCTGTGCATGATGACGCCGAAATTCATCGGAGTAAGAGCTAAGTGCATCCCATCGATCCCCATGTGTATTGCGATAGTGATTCTTCATCATAAAGGTATGAGCAATCCATGTGTGGCAAATGACGCACCTGTTTTGCATCTCCTGGAATAGGCCGGGTATAAGACGCAACCCCTCAAGCCCGCGATCAGTAATAGCAGAAGCGGGATGTGCTCATGACGCCTCATCTCCTAGGAATGTTCAACTGCGGGAAAATGCTACCAAGTCAATTATCGCTTGTCGTTGAAATCGAGTTCGCGGAGCCGGAGCACGCCATGCGCGCCGGAGTGGGGTCAAGCTTGTCCTATCAAATCGAGAACGTACGCCTTTTGGCGGACCAGGTGAGCCTTGATAGTGCGCTCCGGGAGTCGTTCGAGCGCATACTCTTATCCAACAGATCGCTTCTGTTCAGCTTCCCGAGCCTCCATGTGCAGCAATCCAGCATTCCGGCGGGTTCTACGAGCTATAACGTCAGTGTCAGTCGTGCGTTTACAAAGCTGCTCGGCGCCTTCGTGACTTTCAACAAATCCGGAGAGAATTGGGTCAGCAACATGGAATACCCGGGAGAAGCCTTCCCCAATGTCTCCGCAAATACGGTCCTGGAAAGCCAATTACAGCTCGGAGCGATGCAGTTCCCTAGGAATCCGATCAAGGGCATAGCTGAAAGTCATCATTTTTTATCGATCATGGCCGGCACCTATGATAGTAAGATTCGCAACATGCGCATTCCGAACTACGACAACACGAATTTCATCGCTGCTTTCCCCACCGAGCGAGTGCCGAAGCACCCCACATCCGGCCTGAGCACACGTTCCGGCGACCTCGCGAGGTTCACCTTCAAGAACATGCTCGCAGACCGCGTAGATTCGATTTTCGTAGGGCTCGTCAGCCTCCAAATTTGTACTCTTTCAGGGTCCGGCGTGTCGATCCTCGACTGATAATAAGATAAGACAGCCTGCCGAACCACCGCGAAGGGGGGTCAGTATGCTGGACTAGATATAAATGTCCCTCTTTCCAAGCACCCTCACCGGGCGGATCCTGGACGACGGCGTCACGGCACCGCCGGTCATCGAACTCCAGGGCATCTCCGCCGGGCAGCTGGCCACCGTCCTGACCGCGTATACCCCGCAAACGGAGCACACCGCCAACACCACGGCCATCGGAGTCAACGCGGCCGCCATCACCGCCCTTCAAGGCCAGGTCGCCGCCCTGCCGGCAGTTCCTAACCTCGCGCCGTACGCGCTGGCCTCGGACCTGGCAGCCCTCGAGAGCTCCATCCTAGCCAACGCTTCCGGCTTGGCGAGCGTCAACACGAGCCTGACCCTGGGGCTGGCTTCCAAAGCCAACCAGTCGGCCCTGGACGTCTCAAGCTTCGTGGCGGGCGAGCTGGCCAACTACGCCACGACTGCCTCCGTCAGCTCCAGCATCGCTTCGGCACTCAGCTCCTACGACGACAGCAGCCAGGTCGACAACAAGATCATCACGGCCCTGCTGGCTTTCTACACCAGAGCGGAGACCGACCAGGCCATCGCCAATGCGGTGTCGGGCTCCGTGGATCTGTCGGCCTACTACACCTCCGCCCAAACGCAGAGCTACGTGGCCAACGAGCTCCTCTCGTATTATCCGCGGACCGAGCTGGACTCCCTGCTCACGGCCACACTCACCCAATACTGGACCAGCGGGCGCACCCAAACCGAGATTGACGACGCCATCGCCGGCGCGGGCTTTCAAACGCAGGCGGACGCAGACCTGCGCTACTTCGTGCGGGCTCCGGGCGCGGAGTCCGGGCAAATCTTCAACTTGGTTCAAGAGCAGTTCACCCCAAGGATCATCCGCAACCTGCTCCTCGAAGCGCCCCTCTCGGGCGACGCCATTCTTGGCAATCAAAGTACACTGCGGCTCCGCTGCGACTCCTGGACCAAGGCGGAGGCGGACAGCCGGTTCCTGCGGACCAACGACCTCGGGCCCCTCGACGCCCGCTACTTCGTCACCGCTCCCGGCGCCGAGGGCGCTGGGATCTTCAATCTGGTCCAGACCCAGTTCACACCTCGCATCATCAGAAACCTGCTGTGCCAAACCCCGCTCTCCGCCCAGCCCATCCTGGGCAACGGCAGCACCCTCCAAATCTCCTGCGACTGCTGGAGCAAGGGGCAAAGCGACACTAGATACCCTTTGGTCGCAACCTTCAACTCCCTGGGCCAGCGGGTCACGGACCTGGAGAACAGCCCGGGCGTGAATCCCACCGCGGACCTCACCGTCAACAGCCTCACGGCCACCGCCCTCGTGCAGACGCCACTGCTGCAGAGCGCGGCGGCGGACCTCCAACTCAGAAACGCCACCACCACCATCCGCGCCGAGGACGGCACATTGCTGGCCTCCTTCGCCGCCGGCAACATCGGCATGGAGCAAGACATCACCGTGCGCTCGGACCGCACCCTGAACGCCACCACGGCCGACTTCGCCCAGTTCTTCGTGGGCTCCACGGCGGCCACGGGGACCTTCACCAGCAGCAGCTCCGTGTCGGCCACGCAGGAGATCACGAGCGACCTGAGGCTCGAGGCACCCCTGGTGCGCTCCGATCCGGCCGCTCCGTGGCTCACCGTTCAAGGGGGCACCAACGGGATTCTGATGGACGACACCGTGCGCATCAACGGAGTGCTGGGCCCCGAGGCCTCGCTGCCCTTCCTCTCCCTCTCGCGGGGGACGAGCGGGGTGCAGGTCCTTTCGCCGCTGCTGGAGCAAATCGCCGTGGGCCCCACGGACGGCACCGTAGGCATGGTGATCCGCAACGCCGCGCCGACGGGCGATGCACAGCTGCTGCTCGACGCCAACAATCAGGGAGGCGTGGCGGAGCTCAAGGTGCTGGCGGGCGGCAACTGCGAGCTCAACGCCCAGTTCCAGTTCATCTCCTTCAACACCACCAACGGCCTGGCGAACCTGGCCATCGAGCCGAACATCGGCGGCTCGAACGACGGGGAGGTCATCTTCGGGTATGGGTTTGTCAACCTGAGCGACCGGGCGCTCAAGGAGAACGTTCGGGCCATTCCGGACAAGGAGCTGCAAGAGACTTTTGATGCCGTGGAGCCGCAGATCTTCGACCGCATCGACGGCGGCAAGGAGCAGATCGGCTTCGTGGCCCAGGACGTGCAAGCCAGCGGGAAGCTGGGCGCGACGATGTGCAAGAAGAAGAATTTGGACGGCCGGGAGCTGATGGCTCTCGATTATCAAAAACTCAGCGTGGTGCTGTGGGGCGTGGTCAAGAAGCTGCAGAAGCGGGTGGAGAAACTTGAGAAGAAGAAGAGCCGCAAGGGCGACTCGGATTAGAAATGGCGGAGGACGGCGCGATGGAGCTGCTCGCGCGGCTGGCCCGGGACTTCAACGTGCGGGACCCTAGGAAGCTCTACCAGATAGCCCGCCGGGAGTTTCCGGAGCGGCGGGACCTCACGAGCGCGCGGGCGCAGGCGGCATTGCGCAGCGACGTGGCGAGGCAGGTGCTCGCACCGAAGCTGCGGAGTTTGGGCAAGAGCGCGGCGGAGGGGCCGAACGACCGGCTCCAAGCGGACCTCATCGATTTCAGCCAGAACACCCCGACCCGCAACAAGTTCGGGTTGGTGGTCACGGATGTGTTCACCAGGGAGGTGGCCACGAAGGCCCTGCCCGACAAGCGGGCGGAGACCGTGACCCGGGCGGCGGCGGAGGGCATCCCCGAGCTGGTGCAGGACGAAGGAAATTATGTCGTCACCACGGATATGGGTAACGAATTCCGGGGGCTGGAAGCGACACTGCCAGGGGGCGTGGTGCATCGGCAGAAGGACCCGACGGACCGCAATGCAACGGCGGTGGTGGATCGAGCCATCCAAACTTTGAAGAAGGATCTGGCGGGCAAGGTGGCCCGGGAAGGTGGCGGGTGGGGCGACCATGTGGATGAAGCGGCGGAGGCCTACAACGCCCGCCCGCATGCGGCGGTGACGGTAGCCCCCGAGAATGTCGAGACGATGCCGGCGGCCACCTTCCGTGTCTATCAAGATAACGCAGCCAAGTTCCAGCACAACAAGGAGCTTACGGAAGGCCGCAAACGCCGATTGGAAGAAGCGGGCGCCTTCAGGGCTCCGACAAATGCAAGAAGAAGCTTCGAAGCGCAGTACGGACCTGCTCGCGATGTTGCCAGCATTGATTCCATGGTTGTTCGAGCCACAGATGGAACCGAAACTCTGTTGAAACATGCACTTCCAGTTCCAAGAGGCAGTGCCGAACCCAAAGCCAAATTGACTCGACCTCCCGTGCCTCTTGCCATTCGCCAGCTTCGAGACTTCAATCCTGGGCCAGTCGCCCCGCCCTAATCTTCTTGATGACAGAAAATGAGCCCGGAACTTTCATCCGCATGTGAAGCTGTCATGCAAACGCCTTCCGAAGAGCATGTCGTTGACTTGCTCGATGCTTGGTCGCCACAATGGACATGGCGGGGTCGGCAACGAGCCATAGGAACTGGAGCATTTGATCGATACTGCACCTTAGGTTTGTTCGCTCATGGAGGCAATGCTCCCAGAGTGTCCAAAGCTTCCTCAATGAAAGAAGCATGCCTAGCAGTCAACCGTTTCATGCGACATCGCTTTCCAAATCGAACTTGGACTTCCATAGCAGTGCTGCTCAATCCTCGAAGCGGACTGCATCGCGACATGCAAAACACGGTCGGAAAATTGAACCATGCTCTCACTCTCGGAAACTTCACGGGAGGCAAAGTTTGGATTGAAGACGATGAAGGCACTTCAATCGAAAAACTGAGCAAAAACAACAAAATTTATGAGCTCAAAGGGACATGGATCGACATTCATGACAAGCCCATGTCTTTCAACGCAAGACGCTATCATAAAATCGAGCCGCATGAAGGTCATATGTGGGCGCTGGCAGCATACACGCCGCAATCGTTTCGACGCTGCTCCGATGCAGTTTATTCACAGCTCAAAGAACTTGAATTTCCATGCAAAAGGCAATTCGAATGAAATTTACATTCTGGCAGAATGTAACAAGGCTGATCAGCTGGCGAATTCCAACCCCGCCAGGCCACACCATGGCCCAAAAGATTTTGCATGGACTTTGCGTGCACTTTTGGACGTTCTAAAACCCAGCCCTGGGCCTCCTAGGCCACGTTCTGGAGCGAGTTCCGGCCGAAACCGGAAAGAAGGACTTACCCCATGAACGAAACAGCCAGAGACTACACCACAACGTAGCGCAGTTTTGAAACATGGATATAAGAGAGAGCCACCACGCTGAAATGATCGACCCGTCTTTTGACCATGTGCCCTTCACGGCAGCTGAGCATCAGGCGGCAGGACTCGAGACATTGCTACGGCCCAGCCAGGTGTACGAAACGCGAAGTACGTCTTGCCTCCCCTTCGGTCTGTGCTCACATGCTGCTGCTTGCGCAGAGGTCAGCCGCACTGCAGCTACGGTATACCTCCTATAGCGAGGTTAAGACCTTCCTCTGCGGTGCACATGTTTTATCGTGATTGATAAGAGTCAGCAGGAGGTCAGCCAGCTTCGGCTGCCATCCTGCCAATGAAAAGGGCCAGCTCTGTCCGCACTGACGATCCGCGACAGCCCGCTGGAGGCGGCAAAGGTGAAGGTTCAAGCACGCACGTTAGGCCGCCTCATCGCCAAGCCTGATCAGGGAAGTCGCTCAGCTGGCCCCACAGCCGGTTGCGCCGCGCTCGCCGCGGCACTGCGTGGGTTGGTGCAGTCTTCTCCGCAGGGCCCACTTCATACTGTCCGGTGGTCCAGCTTGGGACACCGGCACATGGCCTGCCCGGCGCTGAGCCGCCAGGCACCAGCCTCACAGTCTGTCAAAAGCTGTCGGAATGCCTCTTTGAGTTGAGAGGGAGGTGGATGTTGGCCTTGACTCGGATCTTCAGGACCTCCGCGGATGCCGGGTGACACGACAAGGGCTGAAATACTTGGCGGGCGCGACCTCTCCGGTGGCAAGATCACGGAAACTCTCACCTGTCAGGTGACGTCTCTCTTAGACGCAACCTCACAGGTGGCAAGTCCGCAACTTCTCCCATCTTTCTTTCTCAGGCTCTGCAGTCTGCAATGAGTTGACAAATGTCTCTTTCAGGTCCTACAGTCTGCAATAAGTTGACAAATGTCTTGTATTGCAGTTTCCTCTCAAGCTTTTCTTGGCTTTCCCTTCTGCTCGGACATGGCGAGGACAGCAGCTTCTTCGGCTCTTGCTGCGCGGTGGTCTGGCGGTCGGATCACCATGGGAACTGCTGGTGATCGCCGCATGAGAATGGGCAACTTGCTTCGTCGCACCAAACAGCGAACGCCAGGTGCTCGAGCAGAGGAGAGTGCCAGCGAGCCAGAAGCAGAGGTGGTTGAGGTTTTGGAGTCTCCTGCAGAAGCTGAGAAGCCGTCGTCGTCGAGCAGGCCTCCAATCGTCCCCTACACGGACCCAAGACAGACGAGCCCTGGAAGAAAGCGGGGTCGCGTTCGCACCACTGGAAGAACCAAACTGGACTCCTGAGTGTCTCTTGCAGAGCTCTACTCGTGTTCTTTACGTCGCTTGGTGTCCTTCTTAGTGAACTTTGCTCTCTCTTGTGTAGCAGGGTGTTCGACCCACAATCGATCGTCTACAAGGAAGCTGATTCAAAATCGAAGGGTGTTGAGCCTGCAGCCTCGGACGATGGGGCTCAGGGCCGTAGGACAACGATCTTCGGCCTTTTAGCTCCAAAATTTTCCTCACAATCGGAGCTCGACGATTGTGGACTTTCTCGCTCCTCTCACTCTCTCACTCCGCCTCCGCTCGCTCGACTCGCTTCGCTCGCTCGCTCGCTCCGTTCGCTCCGTGAGCTCGTTCGCTCCGCTCGGGTCCACAATCGTCGAGCTCCGATTCGCTCGTCCCAAAATTTTGGGGCTAAAAGGCCGAAGATCGTTGCGTCCTACGGCCCTGAGCCCCATCGATCTTTCGTTTTTGGTCCGAGGCTGCAGGCTCAACACCCTTTCGATTTTGAATCAGCTTCCTTGTAGACGATCGATTGTGGGTCGAACATTGTCAACCTAGTTGTCAACCTAGTTGTCAACCTAGTTGTCAACCTTGTTGTCAACCTAATTGTCAACCTAGTTGTCAACCCTACCCGCGCCGCCTCGTCGTCGAGCGCTACGAACAGTTCCTCGCGGGCAAGGCTCTCCAGGAGAATTCTTTGCTGCTGGCTACGCAAATGCAGCAGTTAATGACCGGCTTGCAAGAGATGGTGGATTGCATGGTGGGGCTGCAGGTTGCTTTGAGGAAGCTGCGGAAAGAACGGCTTTGGAACGTCGTTGGACTTCTTTGTGTGAAAAACGCAGAGCAAGTCTCTTTTCACTCCACGCTTGAGCCAAACACCGAAGTGTTCAGCAAGGTCTCTTGCGGAGTCTCGCGCAGCAAATTCCGTCTCAACTTTGCTAAACAAAGGAGGAATGACATGCAACTGTCCTAACACTTCTCAGGACATCTGTACTCACTCAAACAGCAGTGCACAGCCACTCTGTCCCTTGGCCTGTTCCCACCGGCACGAGCGAAGCGAGGGTCGGCGGAAAACAGCAACAGTGCAGTCAGAGCAACACGCACTTCTTCAAGGATGCCCAAAAGCATCTCTAGTGCTGTAAGCGCTCATCATGGTCTTCAAGACAAGTGCAAACATGCTAAAACATGTGTTCGCCATGCAAATGCCTGTTCAAGCTTCCAAAACAAAACAGTTCAAGGCAAAAAGGATGAAACCCTTTCTCATGCGCAAAACAAGCATGTCGGTACTCAAGGGCACACCTAAAAGTAGCAAACTTTTCACGGTCTTGCGCTCTGAGTCGCGGCCGCCGGAGCGGCAAGTTCGGTCTGGGCTGTACTCTGACAGCAAAAGGAGGAGGGCAGCCTTGTTTAAGGCGTCCTCCGCTAGGCCTACTCCTATCCCCCGTTCCTCCCAATCTCCGTTGGGAGGTTGCCGGAGGAGCTACTTCGGACCTAGTCTAGCCCTCCTCCCAGGCTTTTGCTGGCGAGGTTGAAGCAGCCTCAGGATTGGCCCTGTGCCTCCCGGTGCCGGTGAGGAAAGGAAGCCGGCCATGGCCTCAGCTGTTCACCTCCTTGTGCCCCCTGCCTAGGCGGGCTCTGCTGGTCTTTGACCACCTCCCTCAGCCCCCTTCTTGAGGTGGGTCTTTGAGGCTGAGGAGATCCCAGTCTCCGCTGGTGAAGACATTGGCTCGCGACCTGAGCAAACAGATCTCATCCCTGGGGGACAAGCAGAGGATGCGCTGAGCATGGAGTGAAGCCACCACCCACTGCCCAGCATCGCTTCTGCTGAGTTCCTCCACCAAGGTGCGAGCCAATGCCCGGTGGTCTCGGTGAAGGGATTCCACTTGCACCCTCAACCAGTCCGCCGTGGCGGGAGCACTGTGGTGGATCCAGTTCCACCAACTTTCAAGCTTCCTCCTTGGAGGAAAGCCTGGTGGTGCAGATTGCGGCTCCCAATCTGCAGCGTCGATGACAACGATCTCCTCCACGCAGGAAGCTGGCGACATCTTCCGGATGCCCCAGTTGCCACGATTTAAATCGCGGCACAGCATGCCCGCACAACTGACCCCCAGGATAACCATCGCCATGTGCAAAACCCTTGCACTGGATGGTTCTGGTACATTGGGCTTAGCCGTTCCACCTCCAAAATGGTCACAGGCACCTTGCCCCATGTACCAATCTGGAGGATTCCAGGGCCCACCTCCCGGGTCTTGCTTGCGCATATCCCGGGGATGACTTGCCCTAGGCGACTCTCTGGCCCATGGCCAGATCGGCGGTTTGGCTCCTGCTCGCTGGAAGTAAGTTTCCAGCACAAGGCGGGATTTCCCGGGCATTCGAAGGTTGCCCGGCTGCCCCCTATACCAAGGAGGGCATAGCAGTCACTGAAACCCCTTAGCGCGAGCGAGTCCCCAACCTGAGCAAGCCAGTGGATAGTGTTGTGAGACCTCTTCACATGTGGCGTGAAGAGGAGCAGGGGTGTGTCCCCCACTTCCACCGGCCATGTTGGCCTAGAAGGGCCCTCCTCACTTTTTGGGTGAGTCGGACTCCCCTTTTGGCCTGCTGGTTCACTTGGGGCCTCGCCAGGGTGGGTCGGGCCCCCTTGTGTGGCCGAGGGTTGGCTTTGCTCTTGACCAGGGTGGGTCGAGCCCCCCTCCTTTGCCACCGAAGAGGCCACGGCCCCTTTTGGGGACGATTCTTTGGAATCCGAGGACTCCTCTTTCACTGCCTCCGCCGGGCTTGTGGCTTCGTCTGTCAGCTCAGCCTCGGCATCGGCTGGTTTCGCCTCGGGTGCTCGGGAAGGTTCCTGCCTAGCCGGGGGCGTGCGGCTCCGCTCTGTGCCGCTTTCACTCCCTTTCTTATTCGAGGACTGGGGTGACAGGTGTGGCTCCCTGTGGTCACCCCGGCCTTCCCCCCGGTTTTGCGGTGGGTCAGGCTCGCTCTCGCTGCCCTGGCCTTTGCCCTCCGGTGGTTCCGGCTC